TTGTACTTGGGTCTCTCTCTCTTCTCCCTGTCTTCCAAGTGTAATGTGCTCCATGAAAGAGTAAGTTACAGTATGAATCAGAAGTTTGTTCTGTCAAGTCTTGACTCATTGGCAAATGCTGCTCTGGTAATTCAAAATTATGGTATTTACTGTCTCTTTGCCCGGTTGGTAGTGGGAGAGGAAGCTGGTGACACTGCAGTGGAGCTGGTGGATGGTCCGGAGGCMTCTGTGAAGGGAGGAGAGGTTAAGGGCCTGGAAGGATGTAGGACTATAGGACTCTCGATATCCATATAGACCCTATATATCCATAGGGTATGACTGCAGCTCCTCTACACCGGCAAGTACRCTGTGAATCTCCAAGGTTTGTTCTGTCTGGCTGTAGGCTTAGTGATTCCTGCTTCCTCAGGGCTGGACCACCCTAAATGCAGGTATTTTGGGACCCAAATTTAGCTCCATTTGAGATCTGAGAGTCGTGTTGACTTCTGCCTCATCACTAGCATTTTCTAAACTGACCTATAGTCTCGATGACCCTTATGCCATGGAAACTGGAATCCTGTTGTGTTAGGGGTTTCTGTAGCACAGATGTGTGCAGCACGTGGAGAATGTTTGGGTTTTCAGTGCTCTTATTGGGGCTGCATCAAGCATTTGAGCAACTGCAGTGTATTTTCCTGTCAGAAAGCAATAAATACAAAATCTTTCTCCTMGAACAGAGCAGAGCTGTGTTTTTCTCTGCTGCGGCTGCTTTGCCCTGGCTGTTACTGCATTGCCAGGAAGCGTTTGTGCTTCCCTGTGGCTGCCGGGCATCAGGGCTTGGTGGTCACAGCCCTTGTAGCCCCTCGGTGAGCTCCAGGCACAGGGAGCTGGGATAGGCCGTGCGGGCCCTGCCTCCTGGGAATGCTTCCCGCCACCAGGAGGGGAGAGGTCAAACTGCAGGCAGATGAGATCACTCCATTGAGTCCTCCTACGAAATCATGTTTTGCAGATAACACCCAGTCATCTCGTGAATTGTACCTCTTGGTTCTGGGGATTACCTGAAGCTCAGATTTCCTCAGGCAAGTTTCCTGTGTTGCTGAGCAAACTCGCCGTTTTGCGAAGCTCTTGCGTGCCTTCACTGCTAGCAGAATGCCAGGCTTCTGTRAAAGAAGAATTTCCAGATTCCTCTTGTCTTTTTTATCTGTGGTATTTTGCTTCCCCAATCATAACAATTCAAAGCTTATTGCAAATAGTCCCGCCTGCAACAACAGGATTGCAGACACGTTCCTGATAGAAGTGTGGGTTCTCTTTTGGTTTTCTTTTTTTTTAAGAGCATCTTGCCTCCTAGGGCCTTCAAGCGCTCTTAACATTTCTGTCCAACTCTGAATCTCCTCCTTTCTTTTGTTTAAACAAAGGAAAGAGTCTGTCATGTCATAGTGAATCTTGGGGTGAGCCACAGTTAAGAGTCCACAGCCTCAAGCTGAAACCCATCCTCTAATGTGTTTTTCCTCAACTGCCTCGACTTTCCTTCAGCCGAGCTTGCGCCTTCTGCTTTCTCTGGATGGTCCCTTTCGTTGTGCAGGCCTGGGACTTCTCAGGTCAAGGGCAGACCAAAGAGCCTGGCCACGGCTGCTCCTTAATCCCTTAAATGCCAGATCTGTCCCCGCTGCCCGGTGTGGTTTGCTCCGGACGGCAGCTGACACGTCGCACCCTCCCCTATCTGCCCTGCGATCGGGGAGCCGTGGTGGGGTCCTGACTCCTGCCCTGGCAAATCGGCTCCATTAATAGCTATCAAAGAGCCTGAAGTTTCCATCCGAACTTTATCTGGCTTTGCACTGAGCTGGGAGGATTAAAGTCTGTCGCAGGGGGAAGGGAGGGAGCAGCCATGCTCACCCGGAATAGCCTGACCTATGACGCCATGGGCCCGGCCTGGGGAGAGGAGCTATCCCGTGAGCTCGTGGGCTGTCAGCAGAGCGAGGGGACATCTGCTCCGTCCCCATAGGGGCTTGGGGGTTTGCAGGGACCCRCTGGTACAGCTGGCTTGTTTGGGAGCAGGTTTGAGGAACAGCCTCGGAGCTGCGGCTTAAACAGCTCGAGGAATTTTGATTAGACCTGTGGGGCTTTTCCCTCAGTCAGGTCTGTGGTTTTGGGAGAGCTGCATGTGAAGATAACCACTGTCCAGAGCTGTGTTCTCTGCTGTGCCTTGGGAAGGAGCAAGGTGGATCGGAGTGGGCTGTATGGCTGGGAYTTGTGTCTGGGGCCTGTGAGGGATGGGGTCACTAGTGCTCATAGGAGGAAAAATGGGGAAACTGGAGCATCTTCCTAAAKCTGGGCAGTGAATTACCAGAGCTCTTGAAATACCAGGTGTTCTGCAGGACTAGTGCAGAGCCCCACAGCGTGGTGGGACAAGATCTTTCCAGCAGCTGAATGATCCTAGGCTCTATCCCCATGAAAAGCCGTGGAAGTGCAAATTAGCTTTCCAGCCTCTGGCGTGGCCCTTGCTCCTGCTCCCCGTGTGAACAGTCTGTGGGTGCTGATCGGTGCCTTGTATGTACCCTGAAGCCCTGAATCTCTTCTAAACCTTTGACCCCTCACAACATACTCCAGATTCCTTCRAGTTAAATGGTCTCCTTTCCTTCCCTCTAGGCTTCAAAGCATCATGTTGTCTCCTGATTAGSCAGACAGATGTATTGCCTCATAAAAGCTCCTTTATCTGCAGTGATTCTATTGATCTTCATACTGGGAACTTCATTCCTCCTTGGAATTTGCAGTTTGCATACTTGCCAAATACTGCTGATGGGCGCTTTGAGTTGCTTGTCTTTTTGTGCCTGACATGTAGAAAAGCCATCCCCTAGACAGGAGACCCTTGTTCCGTAGGTCTGGTAGTCTCGGGGAGTGCAGCTGAACATCTGATCTTTGAGCAACATTTTTTTTGTGAAATGGTTCATGAAACGTTACCTGAGAAGGACAAAGTTGGGCTGTACGCTCCTCATCTCCCGGAATGGTGCGGAGATGCACAGTCCTCAACAGCAGCAGAGCTGTGGCAGGCAGGAGCAGGGGCACCACTGGCTGTTGCGCAGGGCTTTACCCCTCTGTGTGGGGTGTGTGTGTTTGTGCTTTCTCCAACCATCTCCTGAGTGCCAGGAGTTGAAGAAGCAGCAGCAAATGTTCATGCTGGGTATATCCTGCTAACTGAGCCCAGGAGGGTCTTGCAGCTACAGTATTTATTGCTCTCTTGAACTGCGGAGTTGTGCTTGTGACTGGACGTTTTGGATCAGTTCTTGATTGTGAGCAGGGTGGGGTTCATCTGTAGGTGCCAGTTTTTTCTTCTGCCTTTTGCTGATCTTGAAAACCTCAAAGGTTCCTGGAAGCGAAGGAAGGATGTGGAATAGACTGAGAATGAAAATGGGTGCCTCAATCCTAAATGCCCCATCCCTAAACTCTCTGTAAGGGGGCTCATGAGCTGGRTGCTGAATGGCTGCACTGATTTATCATCCATAGCTCTAGGGTGMGTTGCTGGAGCCAGGAACAGGCTGGGGAACGTGCTTGCTTGTATGGGTAAGAGGAGAATTGAGGCTGGCCACACTGGCATAGCACAAACATGCTCAGTGCTGGCCACGTAACGCAACAAGAATGGGGCAGTAGATGAAGGGCAGCCTGTTGTGTGGCCGCCTTGGTGCCCTGTGGAAACTGATAGAAACAAAAACTGCTGCTGCTGTGGGGGGAAAAGTCCTTTCGTCTTGTGAAGAGCTGAGCTTGTGGCAAGGGCAGCTGGCAGAAGCTGCTGTGGGTGGCCCGGATGGCTGTCTGGGAGTGGGTGAGTGCTTGGTTTGGGCAGTTACTGCAGAGCTGATGGTGATCACCTACACGTGCTTCTCCACCTTTCCAGGAGGGCCTGAGTGTGGTGGTTGAGACATCTGTGGGTAGAGGTCTCCTGCTTAAAGCAGGGCTGATAGCCCCACGAGAAGAGGCTCCGGCAGCCAAGTGCTTCCTGTGCAAGGCTCCCCCTCCACACCTTGACAGCCTCTCTAGCTCTCCAGAATCTCTTGCAAGTGAGGACGGAGTGGGTTTTTCTTTATTTTTGCTGGCCCTGGGAGAAAAAACTTTATTTTGAGCATGGCCAGCTTTTATTTCTGCATAATAAGGGAGGGAAACTGTATGAGCATCATCTTTATGTCCCTGCTGCTGCAGTCGCTTGGGGCCCAGCAAGTAACTGCTGCCTCCTCTGCAACTTGGCCTCATGCTTGCGAGGGACCGGCCTCCCTGCCCGGAAAACACAGCGCCTTGTTCAGAGCCCTCGAGCTGCCTGCTTAGCTGTACAGAGAGGTCATTAAAAGAGAACTGTGATTAGGGAAGTGGCCTGATAAGGATGTCGTGCAGGCTGGGGGAGGCTGTGCTGTGCGGGGAGGCTCTGAGGGCATCAGGGCTGGCTGACAGGGCGCTCTCTGATACGGCACTCGGAGAAATAGATTCACACTGTAAGATCCTGAATGGTTTCCAGTTTAGCCAGGCTTGTGCTTTGCAGGAAAAGGAAGAAACAGGTGGAACATTCCCTGCTTCAGCCACCTTTCTTTCTATAGAAACCACTGAGTGACTTTGCATATTTGAGGCTGTGCAGTCAGGCTGCTCCCAGACCCCCAAAAGAACAAAAATCCTGTCTGGGCTGCAGTCCAGTGTTAAACCAGGTTGAGTGTAACCTCCAACAAAAGGCATTAAGGACGTGGTTTATTTCTAATCTGGGAGATGAACAGCCTTGGTATTGCCTTGCTTGCAGAAAGTGCTAGACTAGTGAAGGGCAAATATGGGTCAGGCTCCTCTGTACAGCAAAATATAAGAGATCTGAGTTCATCCTGACTCATCCCTGAGCCCTCTGTGACTTGGTGGGGAAATATTCCAGAAATTCTGAGTGCAAGAATAAGAAAATTGTTTTAATCTTTTGCTCATGAGCAAAAATTTCTCACAACTTGATTTTTTGTTTTGTAATATCTGGTTTTGAAGTCTCCTGTCTTTTTCCTCTCTTTCTGCAGGTCCTTCAGAAGCTTGGGAAAGCAGATGAAACAAAAGATGAGCAGTTTGAACAATGCGTGCACAACTTCAACAAACAATTGGTAAGATAATTGGAGATATGTAATTACAAACTGACTYGGTATTAGTTCCCAGTTGTCTGCTATAAGGTATTATTCAAACCCATTCAGTTGAATGAGGATATAGTCCAGTATAAGTCACCTATTACTCTTAAATCACTCATGCTCACTTGTGAGAGATCACACTCTTGTTTTCAATGTCTCTCTTGCAGAATGAGTGAGAATATGTGATAGAAAATAATACTTGTTCTAGACCCAGTTTAGGAAGTGATGCAAGTTCCTCCTGCTGCCCTGGAAATGGAGACATAAGAGCAAGATTGTGTTTGAGAGCTGGATAGCAGGGGAAGCTGATTAGAAAAGGAAAATAAAATGGAGCAAGGGCAGACTCACTTTCCTAAACACAATCAAAGGCAAAAGGGAAACAAAGCAATGATGAAAAGGGAACCTTCTTCCAGGGCTGGTCAAGCTCTGTAACTTCCTCTTCCATCCCTCCACAACCACAGTGTCAACCTTGAGTCATTTTCTTTTGCATGTGTGCTACATCCCTCTATTATAGTACACACAAGTATTTTGCAGTGTAGCTTGTATCTTTTTTCCTTTATTTAGACAGGAATAGGATTATATCTGGAACTTGATGTGTCTCGAACCGTGTACCTGAAACTTTCAACCGCTGATTTGGGGGAAAATATTATTTTCTCCAGGGTTTTTTTGAGGGCTGGATGGGGTTATAGTGCTGCTTGGTGTGAGGGGAAGTGTTACTTGTCTGCTGCTTGGCAGGGAGTGCAAGCCACACCAAAATGCAGGTGCTGCGAGAAGTGGGAAAGGCAGGGAAAAGAAAATCCTTCAGCCCCTTTGTACCCTGACATATCTGGGGCCTTTTTCTGGAATGCTTAATGGCAGCTGCTTCTCATCTGTTAAGACTCAGCAGATGTGGCTCTGTTGTGTCCCAAAACCAGCTGAGAAGGGATTTACCACAGCTGAATGCAATGAAGAGCTTTCAGTCCAGCTTTGAGATATGACTAATGAGAAGCTGACTACAGATTCCTGGAGACTAATGCTCATTCTCTTGGCAGTGGTAGTAGCTGTTGTTTTGTGCATGCAATGTCTCTATAGCATGTCTACCAATGATGTCACCTCGGAGGAGCACCATTTGGCTTCTTTCTGGAGACATGACATTGCCAAGTGTGTCTTTTTCCATATCTTTATTCAGGAGTCTGAAGCTGCATTGAGGAGTCTCAAAGAAATGCTGTTACTGCRTCCTCCTACATCTGAATTTCTGTTGTTATCTTGCAGGGTAGCCCAGGAAATAAAATCTACCAATGACTTATCAAGAAATGAGAAGCTACTATGCAGTTGCTGCTTGTGGTCTCTCAGTTTTGCCTTGTTATCTGTTTCCCTATTTGCTAGCATAAATATAAATGATACCTATTACACGGAACAGGCCATAAGTGTGAGTTGGTTGGATTGTTAAAATGTCCAGGGCTGAGGAGCTGTTTTGGTGCTAAACTGTCTTGGAAAGGMAGTTGAGCTGTATGTGTGTGTATATATATACATATTTATAAATAAACGTGTTGTGTGATATAGCTGTATGAGAGACTTTTATGGTCTTTCCAACCAGAGAAACCTAAGTCTAGAGGAAAGGTAAGGTTTTAGTGTAGACATGTTAGAGTAGTGATTCTCTGGTCACATTCCAGATTATTCCAGAGTATTATTACAGCAGGAGGAGAGCCACAAATGTATTCCAGTGGCACTGGCCTTGTTTGCTCAGTCAGTTAGGGGTCTCTTCTGACTTGAATGGCTGTTTTGAACCATTTGGCACATGTTTGTAGATGGGGTGCTGGGAGGGGAGACCCGGGAGCAGACCCCAAAATGGTTCATTCACCTTCAACCAAGGCACCATCGTGTATGATGTTCCATCACTACACATAGGGTAACTCTTACTGCTAGTTCTAGAAGCTGTGCTTGCACCACACAAATATGAACACACGTAAAACAAGTTAGACTTAAATGTTTAGTCGATTAGAGAGAAACAAAGCTGCTATTAGAAAAGCTCAGGCAGAGCAAGCCTGACCTATCTCAGGTCTGAGGCCTTATAAATTCGGTACAAAGCTTATTGCCAGTTACTGGGAACAGCAGTAGAGCCTGGCAGGGCTAGAGGACATGCCCAGGAAGAATTTCCTGTGCAATGCCCCAAACTGCTGGCTGTGAGAGAGGGATGCAGACCGGAGTGTCCTGGCTCTGGAAGGCTGCGACACCTGCCCGTTTTGCCTGGGGCTGACGGGCCCTGTTGGCTCTGCAGCCCTCTGCTCGACTCCGGCCTCACAAGCAGGGAAAGGCTCTGCCTGCCACTTTGGAACTGCTTGGCTCCCAGTCTGTGGATCTGACTTGCATGTCTCTGGTCCCCCTCTCACGTGAGGGGCTGGGGCTAGAAGGGCCTGGATTGATTTTTTTTTTTTTTTTAATCTTTATTTATTTATTTATTTATTTATTTTGGTAGGAAAGCAGTTTTAACAGCTCGCCTAGTGCCATGGGATGGGTGCTTCCTAGCAGTAGTTCAGGTCTGGGCTGTTTTTGTTGTGCAGGGGCTAACCTGGAGCTGTTATTTCTATTGTTTTTTGGTTGCTTTCCTCCTTTATCTTCCCACACTCTGCTCTTCCATCCCAACATTTAGGGAACAAGACATTCCCTGCACCTCTCAGGTGTGGAAAGTCCCTGCTCATTAAAAATGCCTCCATCCTAACTGTAAAAGCAGCAAGGCCATGCAAGGAAGCTGCTACAGTCTGATGTTATGGGGGAAAGCAGGTGAAACCTTTCTTTTAAAGGAGAGTGGGGAAAGCTTAGAAACCTTTTGGCTATCAAGAAACTGGTGTTTATTGTGGAACACGTTTAGTTCATGTTCAGTATAATTATTATTTACAGTTACCTATATCATGAAAAAACAAGAAAGTGAACAAACAAGCCTCACAACTTTTTTCCAGCACTGTTAACAGTAGGTAATTTTCTAGGGCTTTGGAGAGAGACTTCCAGCCTCCCAAGCACAGCACTTCTGTTTTTGAAAGTGCATCTTCCTGCGTGTACTGTCCTTTGTGTTGTACCTGGTGGCGTTACAGTGTCATAGAGTCACATTGCACCGTGACTGCAGGCAGGGCAGTATCTGCTTAAATAAGGTGACGCTTGTGTGTTCRGGCATGTTGCACTTGCTGCAGTGTGATTGCTCTCCTGTGGTGGTTCCTCTCCGGGTAGAACAGCTTGTGCTATGTGCACGGGGAAAAAGCAATTGCTAAAGAATTTTGGGGAAAGTATTAATGCTGACAATAATAAAAAGAAACCCTKGCAGCAAGTGAAAGACTTGTTCAGCTGCCAGACAAGGAATAACACAAAAGAAATACCAAAGAGGGGGCTGGGTAGGAACCCCAGGTGCAGAACACTCAGGGGATTAGGAGTGCTGGGGAAATGAGATTCATGGGCAAACTGAAAAATGAGCCTCTTTGGGGGAATCTTTGACAATCCTCACAGGCTGCAAAGTCTATTTGGTGTTCCCTGCAGATGAGGTGCCTTTAAAAGGCTCAGGTAACCCTGTATATGAGGTAACCAGTGTACAAGGGGGCTGGAGGGAGGCTTCTAGCCTGTGTGCTGTAGATTATGCACTTCTCTAGAGTCCAAGGGACCTTGGTTCTAATATACCTTTCTCAAGAGTAATTTCTGTTCAGCTTGTTCCTATTTGGTTTAATTAGAACAGGGTGTTCTTGTCTCCCTGTAAAGACTTCTTGTTCGCTGTATTATTTTGGACAGCTTGGGAGAGAGGGTAAAAAATTTCCTTTACTTCCTCTTTGGCCCTTTTTGTATGGGAGAATAACTGATAGTTTTCTCCTTATCTTCACAGTCAGAAGGCACAAGGCTGCAGAAGGACCTCCGAACTTACCTGGCYTCCGTAAAAGGTAAGATCTGTGTAAACACAGTGTTTTTCTCTAACAATTACATGTGCAGTTAGGTTTGCTGTAACCCATGTGCTTCCTGGTGTTCCCCATCTCAGGGATGAATTTTATGAACAGTCAACTTGATCATGGCAGAGGATTTTGGATTTTTTTTTGGAATCAGCTGGAATGGGTTTGTGGTTTGGGCCATCTTYTCAGAAAAACTCTCATGTCCTCTGCTAGTGGAAATGAGTGCGTGCAGTTTGATGCACCTGTGTTCTTGAGTTTCCTTCCTCTAACTACTGTCYGTTTCTGTGTTTCATCAGGCATTCGGTAGGGAACAGCTTAGCATGTGTTGTAACTCATTCAGCAACTTTTGACTCCCCATCACTTGAAATGAGGGATAAAATGGGAGTTTGTGGTTACTAAAGTTGTCCTCTGTTCTTTCCTAGCCATGCATGAGGCCTCCAAGAAGCTGACAGAGTGTTTGCAGGAAGTTTATGAGCCGGATTGGCCTGGGAGAGATGACACAAATAAAATAGCAGAGGTAAGAGGCCCAGGATTTGGGGTCCCTAGGCTTGGCCTGTCGGAGGAGATGAGTTTTGGAAACTGTGAGCTGTGTTCCTTCAGATAGAGAACTTGGAGGAGGAGGTGGTTCTGACCTTGGACTCYGCTACAGTTGTAGGTGGTATCCACTAATCTCTCCTCTTTAGCTTCTGAAATGGATTTTGTAAGCCTTGCTGCATGGGCTCTTCCAAGCCTTGAGAGATTTGTCTCATTAGAGCATCCTCCATGGCTTCAAGCCTTGGTCTCTCTAACTGGTTCAGGTCTCCATTTTCTCTCTTCCTATGTCCCTCACATCCTAAGTGCCATGGTATTACTACAGTATTATAARCCTCAGGTTACCTCTTGTTTAACATGTCCAGCAGCTTTTATATGCGTTTCTTGCTTTTCTATAAGTACATCAGCACTATGTGCCTTCATGCTGCAGAAGAAAACTGTTGCTCTTTTTGATAGCCAGTTTGTGCCGTTACAGAGCTATTGACGCGGATGCTGCCACTCTCCTTGTGTTGTTTGTAAGTGTTGTCATGGCCAGCTGTGCTCTTCCTTTTGTCTAGAGTTAATCCCTTGATAGTGTGCAGTGCTGAAGGGGCTTTCCTAGATCCCATTAACTCTTCAATGCTGCTATCTCTGGAGATTGTTCACTGGGAGGGATACCAGCCTAAGGAGCTGACATGCACTGATACGCAATGTTGCTGGAGATCTGTGGGCAGATTATAAATTAGGACTCGGGGATTTTGTGCATATGGAGCAGGGAAGACCTCAGGCCTGGTTCTGGCAGGCTACATCATAGGGCTGGCTGTAAGCTGTGCRTTGCCGTTGATGAATGCAGGAAGCATTTCAGGTGCAATATTTTACATCAAGGTATAAACCTAGAATTGCACATTTTGTATGAGCACTTTGTGCTGTGTCTGTGTTGGTGCAAGATTCGGTCACAAGAAGACAGATCTTCAGGCCTCCTYTCTGTAGTGAGGGGAGGCAACTTCTACTGTGCAGATTCTCACTGAGCCCCTGGCTGTTGTGTTACGTGATCATTGAGAAGGAAGCGGGCAGGGAGGCGGGAGGAAGGCTTGCTACTTCCCGCAGTTTCCCCTGCAGAAAACCTTACCTGAAATAACATCTGCATTTTTACCTTGGAAACAGTGACTTCAAAGTGCATAAGCAAGACCTGAACGCTTCCAGGTCAACTCTTGCGTTAATATGGAAGCTTGCCATTAGGATGTGTTGTTGCAGTGAGTAATAGAGCTGTAATTCAGCTGGTTTGGCTTCACTTGTTCTTCTGGCCTTGTTTCTTCCTAAGCTACGGAGGTGCCTCCTGGGACACAGCCCTGCAGAGGATTTGAGTCAGAGAGGCCAGAGGGAGCACGAGGCCTGAGAGCTAACTGAAGCTGCTCTGGAGGGCCTCMGAAGTGTTTTCCAGGCCCCTTCACCTTTTAATGCCTGTATTTATATTTCCCTCTTTCAGTGAAAGGCAGGCAGCAGAAAAGTGCTCTTCCTGCCAAAATTTCCCACATAAAAAGGTCATTTCTCCTGAACAAAAACCAAACGCATTTGTTTTAAGCTGAAGAAAAAAAACAGAAGGGCAGACCTGTTTCCACCTGATGCCAAATGTTGATGGAAGCTTAGCATGGCTCAGATGAAGGGTAAATTGGGCTCAGGCTGGGGTGCAAGCCTTGAATGAGACCTCCGTGGGGCTCTCAGCAGCTTGTGTGAGGCTGCAGCCTGCTGGCATGGATTTCTGTCCCTGTTCCTTATCCTTCAGAAAGGTGTGTTTAGTGAAAAGCAGAGAAGGGTGTCAAGTGTCCTGTTCTTGTGAGCCCTGAAAGGAAGGATCTAAGAGGAGGAGGTAAAACACATCTAGCCTTCAGCTTCCCTTCTGTTGCTAGCACTGTAGTGGAAAAGGGCTCCCCAAGGTCTGTGAGGGGTATTGTGTCCTTGCAGAGGTTGCCTGAATTAGCTCCAACAAACCACCTCTGTTCCTACATTGCTGGCGTGAGCTATATTTGCAAGTCACTTCTCTGTTCCTTGTTTTTTCTAAACGACTATTTTTGAAGAGCCCTCGGAATGGAAGCTGTCGATTGTAGCACTCCCTGAAACTGAAATGCGAAGCTCTGTTCTTCTCACCATTAGTGAGCTCCCTGCTTTTGTTTTTCAGAACAATGACCTCCTCTGGACGGATTTCCATCAAAAGCTGGTGGATCAGGCGCTTCTGACCATGGATACGTACCTTGGCCAGTTCCCAGACATTAAAGTAAGATGCTCTCTATGCCTTTTGATCTAGGATGTTATAACAGTGGAGGCTTAATCAGAATCCAGTTCTGGCATCTTCTTTAGGGGGGTGTTTGTGAGGAAATACCCTGTGATGCAAGAGATCTGCTTGTGGATTAAGACTGACCTGGGTTGGGCAGATTATTGAGGTGATTCTGTGTGACTTTTTCCACTTCAGTAGTGAGCAGGTAAGGAGCTGTGAAGTGTGGCAGAGCAGGAACACACCTTGTGGTCCTCAGAAGTGGTTGCCTGGAACTGCGCTGCCATCACAGGTGACTGCAGCCCAGGGCTGCCTTTTCTTGCCACGGGGAWCCCTGGAGAATCTGTCCTCTACGAGTTGGAGCTCGCTGCGTTGTCCTCACGGTCACAGTGTGTTTGTAACAGTAGTGGCATATGCAGAAACTTCCTTATCGTGAAAGGAGCAGGGTGTCTGAGATGGGCTGCAGCATGTGAGCAATCTGCTTTTCTAAAGCCAAAGAGGTTACCATAAGTAACCTGTTTGACTCTGCCYTATGGCAGAGTGTCCATGCAGTGTTTCTGCTGGTAACAGACAACTGAGAGGTGGTAGGATCTTTTTCTTAYAGGTAGCAGGGCAGGAAGCTTTCCACSTCAAAACTGATGAGCTCTTTGTGCCCAGGTTCTACAGAGTCAATGGGACTAGGACCAAAAGCATTGGGGGAAGCCTGTATGCTTGTTGTGCAAGACACTGCAGCAGCTGCCTGTCATACATCACTTGCACTGATCCTTGCAGTTGTGTGTAGCCCTGGATACCTCCTTTGAACTGTGTTGCTGCAGACTTTCCTTTTCCAGCAGTCAAGATCTTTGTAGCTCTAGATCGTATGAAAACACTAGGTTTCATTTGGGCTTAAAAATGACAAAGAGCGAAGAAGTCAGGAGARCAAAGCTAAGGAGAAAACATTACTGCAGAACAAGAGGCTGCATGTCGCTAGTTTTTTGTTGCATATTACCAGCTCTTTGTAGAGGAGGGGCAAAGTCATAGGGTTTGGGGGTGTCCCCCTGGTTCACTGACCGGGGTCCGAATGATGTCCTGTGAACATCCCTTCCCCCGCTGTGATCCCCTCCCCATTCGTTTTGAGAAGGTTATGCAGGAAATGTCTTTGCCATATGGAAGCACTAGTAATGATATCACCATATGGGAAGTATCAGCTTGGCTTCTTCCCAGTGAAAACAACCCTTTCCCCACCACATGTCTCTTAAAATGCTTGTCAACATTTGTTGCTTCAGGAGGAGCATGCTGCACCCCTGTGGGGCAGGTCACAGGCTTGGAAAACCGCTGCTGAAGAGGTTGCTTTCTGGGGCCCCTTGTTTTTTTGTCTCAATTTCCAGCATCTTTTATATCTGGAAATAGGAGATAAGGAAGAAGGAAGAGTTGCTCCAACTTCTCACCTTTGTGAGGCTTTAACGTTGGTCAGTCCCTGTGGTGTGATTGAACATGCATCCACAGTGCAGTGGTTCTGGCACTGTTTCCAGAGCATGGGTTTGTTTTGGGCTTCTTGCAGACTCTGGCTCTGCACTGCTCTGTACAAATTACATTTTGCTAGCCTGTGCCTTAGGTCACCTCACCGTGCCACATTTCCTCAACATTTAGCATCTTGGTGATCTCTTAATTCTGCTGGGATAGTCCTCGGATTTTAGATTGGGGTTTCTTCAAAGGAAGATGAGAGTGGGACCACCCAAATGTCACCAGCAAACTCATGGGGGTCAGATGCCAAACAAAGGTCCTTCCTAATTTCCAGGTGGGGTGTTGAGGTGTTTGCTACTGATGTGGCTTTTTTCCTMATCTTCAGATTTTGCTCTGGAAAATGTAAGGTTTTCTTTAAAGAGAATGCTAGTGAACTTTAGCTCCCTTCTTCAGCCCAGCAAGTTGTTCCCTTTCTTTTGGTATCTACAATAAGAAATTACTGTGACCCAGAGCACTGAGAGGTGACTCAGATCAAGTTTGGTGTCTTTGACTGTTCAAAACTATTATAAAAATGTTTTTTGCAAGTTTCTGCAGTTTTACAAAAGTATAATTTGGTTTCACGTGAGGAAGTAGAGTTCTTGAGGGTAACACATGGAAGATGTTGAATGTAATTTACAGAATATTTTGGTTTGTTTTCTGTTGTTGTCATGGTAATAGTTTTTTTGTTCATGTTTTCCACAAAAGCAAATTTTTCTGCTTTTCCTGGAATTCTGGCATTACTGTGGTAATGAAAGTTGATTTATGGAGAAAAGGTGATTTTAATTTAGTTACRTAAAGGCCTAGCTTTTGTTAGCAGCCCAATAATTAAAACGTGTGATCAGTTAGACCGTGCAGGCATTACATACTTGTTAAGTACTAAAATAAAGGAATTCCAGATCTTCTTTCACTTGAGGGGCTGGAAAAATTCCCTTGAATTTTCTGGACTCAGAACTTAAGGCAGGATTGTAAAGACGTATCCCTTTAGTAAGGAATTTGTCTAATTTAGAAGAAATTAATTTTAAAATTTTGTGGCGGAGGGGAAAATAGAGCAGAATCTTCTCGGAGTCAGAAGGAAGGGAAACAAATACCACTTTATTCCTTCTATCAGGATCAGTCAGTATCTTTAGCTCCCTGGAGTAACACTCTAGATTAATATTTCATAGTGGGTTTTTGGTTGGGTTGCAGAGGAGCACGGTTGTCCAAAGGCTGCAGCGAGCCAGAACCCTAGGGCTGAATAGGTGTGGGATTTGGGGAATGTCTGTCACACCAACACTGGGGGTGTGTTTCTGCTAAGTTTAAGACCAGATGGAGGGAATTTAAATCTGTAGGTGTTTGTGCTTTGCCATGAGATGGTGACAGGACAGCTGCACTTATCCTGGAGCAGGACAAGGAAAGCTGCCCTTCCTTCCAGGGCTGGGCTAAATCCTGCTTCACAGCTGACTGTGACCAGTGGTTTCTCCAGAAAGGCTCGTAGTTTATCCGTGTCCTGCAACACCTCTGTGCACTGCAGAACAACTGTGAGGCCTGAGGTTGGAAGATCAAAGACCCCAAGAATGGGGCGTCAGTGGGTGAATATGGAGCTGAYAGGCTGGTGCCGTGGTACCGTTTGGTGGGGCAGCAGGGGAGCCTGAATGTGGTCATTTGGCACATCAAAGGTGGGCAAAGCCCCTCTAAATGCAAACTCTCTCTGCTAGTTTTACCCAAGGGAAAAATCCCATCCCTTTGATCCCATATCYGGCAATGTGTTTCATGTGGAGTGCGTGGAAGATGCATTAAGTGGCACCTCAAGGGATTGGAATGCTRCTGGAAGCCCCCCTTTCATCCTGTCCCTGTGTCCAACTGGCAGTGTTTCCCAGGATGGCAAAATGCCACAGTGGTCCCCCCGCTGGCAGAAGCCTGGAGGAGGATCTCATGCTAGGGAGGTGTTTTCCAGTAATCTCAATTGAGGAATAGCCCAGATTCTTTGTAATTCCTCCCTTGGAGCAGAGGCCTTTGAAATCCATTCGGGTGCAGATGCAGCTGAGCTGCTGCAGCTCTGCTGTGATTCACACAGAGCCACACCAGCATGTCCTGAAAGTTGGGAGCTCTGTRTATGTGTGGGGGGGGAATGTGTGAAGTGGTCCCAGCTGGTCTGGCAGAAAGATCAGCCCTGAATGTGGTTTGTGATTTATCTGCATCAGCCTAGAGCTGAGAGCACAGCTCCTTGCTGAGCGCAGCGGGGGGGATTTGGGGTTGCAGGTAGATCTCCGTGCTGATTCCTCCTCTGACATTTCTGATCTCTCTGGGCGATGAGACTAAATTAAAGCCCTGCTCGCTTTTTACTGTGGCTTCCCGTGCAGCTTTTCCAGGCCATCTCCAGCCTGCTGATGGCTGTCGCTGGACCAGACTTACCTTAAGCTGCAGTGCTGTTCGGGTTAGGCTGGGGAGACCTGAGCTCCAACCTATAAAGCTGGGGAGGAGGTGGGAGGTCAGTGTAGGGACAAGGGGTGTGAAGTGTTTACTTCCTAAAGCAGCCAAATGGTCCTGAGCCTTGCAGAGGTGAAACCTGAGAGGGGGAGAGAGCCTGAGGCACCTCTGATCAACAGCAGCATCTCAGAGTAGTGGCCGCTGTCCCAGCTCGTCCTGTGCTCCAGGTTCTCTTGGCCTGCCTGCCAGTGTGACACGAGTGACTTCCCCTTGTGCATGTCCCAGCCTTATGTCTTGTGTGTTTGTGGAGCAGGGCTGCACCTTCTCCCTCAGACTTTCCTTGGGTAATAGCTAATCACAGTGGACCTCTGGCCATGGCTACAGTCGCAGTGTCCGCTCTGCGCTTGTGCCTAAGCCTCCYGTTGCAGAGTCTGAAACTCTGCAACAGAGCCTCCTGTTGCAGGCTCCTGGGTCTATCTGGAGCACGTGGAAGGGCCTTGGACTGTGCTGGCCACATGAGAAATACCTACTCAGGTTGGCCTTCAAAAGGCTWTAGAGCTACCTGGAACTTTAGAACTTGTGCAGAGAACTGGTTAGCTCGAGGTTGGCTGTAACTCTTAGAGGGCTCTCAAACTGAAGAAGCAGGTGCCCCTAGAATCCAGTCACCTGGGGAGACTTTCCAAGCTGTAGCTTGGGAAGTGTTCATGCCATCCAGAGGTGGGGCCTGTGGGGTTGTTATATTCCTTTGGTCTCCTTGGCTGAGTTCCCTCCTGGTCTCCTAAAGAGCTGACTCGCAAGTAGTTGCTGACCACAGGCAATTCCGAGGCCCACCTCTCTGGGCAGCCAGTGTCCAGTATTGCTACTGAGTGTTTCCTGGTGTGGACAAAGCATAAGGAGCTTTAGAAGCTGGCTGGATTAAGTGGAGGAGAGGGGTTTTCATGAGAGGCTTTGATAAAGTAGATTGTCATAACTCTTTTCTCCATCTCTCTTAGTCTCGCATAGCGAAGCGAGGAAGGAAGCTTGTGGACTAYGACAGCGCCAGACACCATTTTGAAGCCCTGCAAACTGCAAAGAAGAAGGATGAAACCAAAATTGCCAAGGTAAAGCACACAGAAAGGTGTGCGGCCATCCTTTCATTTTGGGAGGTCTGATTTTGCTTACTGAGCAGATYTTGAAGTGTGCCTGTACCTCCTCACTGGGTGCATTTTGCTCAGGGAGGTGTTGTGCACTGTTGAGGTTTGGCTAGGTATTTCCTTCTCATCTTTTGAATCCCCCTAAAGGCAGGATGCCCTCCCATGTCTGAGTTCAGTCCTRGCACTGTCAGTGAGCTCTGCTTGGTGCCCAAGGCCTAGGTCTGCATTTCCTCTGTAGCGGCGGGAGCAGTAAGCTCTGGAGGAAAAACCCACGGGCCCCTGTGAGAAGCGAAACCCTAGAGTGTTGCAGCAAAATCTGCTGCTTGCCTGCTGCTCTGGGCTCTCCCTCCCCATGTTAGAGTAGTGGTGAGAGCAAGTGAGTGCTGTGAGCAAGCGATGCTTGCAAGGTCCTCTGCTGTCCTAGATAGAGATAGAGACTGTTAGTGTATGAGCTGCAGGTTCATCAGTACAAATRCACCATGGGCACATATAAAGCCTGTCTTCTGTTGACCATAATTACTRGAAACTGAATATAACCCAAAGCAGGAAGATAGTTTTTCCCCCATTGAGACATCCACTCATTTTGTTCATACCTTCTTCCTGCACTGACTTAATCTCTGTTAGACTTTAGGCATAAAGGTTAACATTTGATGTGCCTAAAGGCCTATTTGCCCAAGTTGATGTTGCCTCTTTCTTGTAACAAATCTTATCAGGAAGGCGGCTGATGGATCTTAAATTAGCCTTATGAAGCATCAGAGCTTTAAAGGGTTACAGATGCTTAAACTATAGTTTAGGGACATTTAGATGCCCTAAGTGCAAAACAGTGGTCCAAAAATTCACTTYAGTGACTCTTTGGCTTCAGATTATCCGACCTCACAAACAGCAGCAGTGTTTAATCTGGAAACTTTCTTGAATATTTGGTTCTTGTATCCCTCACAGGACAATTCTATCTGAGCAGGTACCCACTGTTTCTCAGTTCCTTCTGGAAGACAGCAAAATACCACCAGGGTTCCGTGAACAGATGCGTGCCTTGCATCAAGGAGCAGGATTTAATTTTAATTAAAATAATTTTAATAAATTTTCTATTTTATGTGCAACTAAAGAAAGGTGAGAGTGCCAGTCTCATTGTGGAGGAGTCCCAAGGTTAGAATACTTGCCCAGCAAAAGGGCTGCACTGTGCTCATTCAGCCTGAGGTGATTCAAACCTATGTGCCCTGCTCCACAGGACAGGTCTTCACAGTCTGGAGGTGGGTGAGRGGACCCCTTGCATTGCTCTTGAGTGTGGATCATGGCACATCAGGGTCCTGCAGGYCAGAGGAGAATGGGAAGATAAGAGCTTTGAGTTTCCATCTCGTGGCCAAGCTTGAGGGGGTTTCTCTCATTCTTTGCTTTGCAGTTGTTTCTGGTGTGGGGAGATGTGTGCAGCAGGGGTGTCTCTCCTGTATGGAGGACATAAAGCCAGTTCTCTACTGCAGGCAAATGGACTGCATTTAATGCTCAGTTGACAGTATTTGAAGCTGCTGGTCATCAGTCATCTGCTCGTCAGTGCAGGCACTATGATTAATTCTGACAAACAAAGGGAAGAAAGATTGATGGCCCAGGTGTCACTGCATCATTTTCAGAGCAAAGAAATCGCTAGTTTTGTATTCAAAGCATGAGGATCAGACAGTTGTCTTCTGTTGAAAGCAGAACTTTAGCTTGTTTAGCAGAACTTCCCTGGGGCATGGTATTGTTCTCCGTGTGTCTGTGGGATCTTTGCCAGAGCAGCAACGCTCTGTGTGGGAATTTGTGCTCAAATTGATACCTGGTGATCTGCACCTCCTTTGTCCTTGCTGCACTTGCTGGTATTGACCAGAAGGCCTGCGTAATAAACTTTTTTAATGAAGGTTGGTCTGTTTTTTCTCTTGTTGGAAATATGAAGAACAGTTTGAAGATTTAAGTATGATGATTTAAGAGATCGTTCCTTTTTAATTATTGAGCCTGTGCAAATGCTTTTTTGTACTTGATGGAACTATTCTTATTAACTAAAAGGGGGGATGAATCGGRTGTTCCCCTCTGTGCTTTAGGCCATAAGCTCATGTGCAGAATACCGTATGACAAGTCACTCTGTCCTGATCCCATGACGCTGGGAGCTGCAGGAGTTCCTCAGTGACATGTGCTGCTCGAACAGGCAGTTTTGATGGCCCACTTCTCACTCTCACCCCTGCAGTCTCACAGCCCCGTTTGGGCAGGAGCCAGGGATCCTAGGGATTCCCAGGGATTGCACTAGGCAAATGTAGGAYGTTCACCTCCCTATTCCTGTGACTATAGTTTTGCTGATTTGACCTGAAAGTAGGAATGTTTAGGAGTAAGGTGTTTTGAAATGTGATAACAGGCCCCTAGGCAAGAGATAATGCTAATAATGTAATATACGAATGGGATCCCACTTGAATGATGTCTCATGACAATATATAACACGACCAGCAATATACATGCCTTTGGGAGCTGTGGTATCTCCTTTTCTCCCCCTACACTAATACATGGATGTTCTCCCATCCAGGACTCCTGCCACCTACCACTAAACTCTCAACCTGCCATTAAAATGAAATACTATGAACTTTGAGCTGCTGCATGCAGATAATGGGTGTTTAATCCTGAYCTCTCTTTAAGGAGCTTCTCCTTCACAGCCGTGACTCGGAGTGGGGTTGTCCGTGTGCTAGATCACTAACAACTCGTCTGTTGCTCTTTGCAGCTGGCCGCCTGGTCAACACTGGAGCATTAATTACTGCTAAACTTGGCATGCTTCAAAGGATTCTTAACTGATCAGCACCAGGATGTTTGTGTTTTCTCTCACCGTGGTGATATTGGTTTGGCCCAGCCTGTAAATACTCTGTGATTTTTCTTTTTTTAAATCCTAAAAAATGTTTGTGTCTTTTCATGTTCTCTGCTCACTTTTTTTCTCTTTCCACTCGAACATGCTGCCTCCCTCCCAGCCTGTCTCGCTGCTTGAGAAAGCTGCGCCTCAGTGGTGTCAAGGGAAGCTCCAAGCTCACCTCGTTGCGCAAACTAATCTGCTCCGAAATCAGGTGACTGACTGCTGATCTCCCTGCCTCTAACCCCGCACGCATGCGCTAGTCTGGGCTCGGGGTCGGCCTCTGCAGCCTAATCTCCAGGCAACGTTCACTCTAGTCCCTTCCTTTAAGTTTGTCCTTGATGATTCTGAGCTGTGGTGGGCGCTTAGGAATCGCTGGCCAGTGAATGAACCTGTGCTGTTATTTCCAACCAGGAGTTTTTGTGCTAGGCTATTGTTTTCTTCCCATAATATCAAATGAGAATGAAGAAAAGGCTGTATGAAGAAGACTAAGGGACAGGGGAGTGTCCTGTAATTCCTTCAGGTATTCCTGTTTCCTGTTTTTTTCTAAGTGAGAAGCATTCAATTTTAATTGTTGCTGTTTATTTTAAAAAAAGTGGAAACATTCAAAAATTGATTTATTGAGTAAAAAATTGACTTTTCAGTGAATAAAAATAAATTTCAAAAGCAATTTCTGTGGCTGCTGAGTTTGGTTGCAAAACTCAGCCAGGGTAAAATCCAGGTTTCCCGAATAGACATTGCATGGTTTTTGTGGTCCAAAAGAGCCATTTMCAGAAATCCAGAGGCTCAGTCTGCAGAGGACCCAGACCAGAGAATTTGCACATCGCATAACAGATTTGAGCAAATTTATTTTGAAACTATTTTGCTTAACGTGGCMGGATTTGGCTAACTACTTAGCTTATAGTATCTTGAAGGAAATAAGAGCTCAGAGAAGCTTCATGAGTCAGAATTTTAATTCTACTGGTATAGGAGGAGCCTGGCTTCCTAATGACATCGTTCTCAGTATTTACTTTGGAGTCCCTTAAGGGATATCAGTGAGCTGACCAAAAAAAAGTGGTAATGGTGGAAAGGGGGCTGTAAATCATTAACCAGACTGGGAGAGAGCCAGTTGCCTCCTCCCGGGTTCCTGGTGAGCTCATCTGGTCTCATTCAAATGCTTGGACTTTTCCAGATTCCCCATCAGTGAATGAGTTGTGATTTAAAAACACATAATTGCTCTCACCTTACGAAGCACCTGATTTTTTCATTGTCAGTTCATGACTTCAGCCTGCRAAAATACTAGGTTGCTACGTAAATAAACCCTGGGAACAGAGCRGCTGTTAGCAGTCCTGCTTAAGATATATTGCAGAGTGAGGAAATAGCCATTCATCCTTGACTGAGGGGAGAAGGGAATTTGGCAGTCTTCTGGAGGCTTTTCCTGTGCCTCAGAAATGCTGGGAATAATCTCTTTGTCTGATGGTACCTTTGGAGAGAGCAGGTTTGGGAAGTTTCTGAAGGCACAGCTAAATAAATGTGTTTGTGGGTGTCCTTCCTCTTCTCAAGCTGGCTGGAGGGCTTGGGAGCAGTGCCACCTCCCCCAGATTACCCAGAGAACAGTCTGTGTCCTTCTGTACGCTGCTGTTTCAGAGAGAGTGTTGAGTGACATTGCCCTAAAGCGAGTGACAAGGATTTGTGCACCCCAGCCTTTTTTTCAGATTAATTTAAGTTGTCCTTTAAGATTTTTTCCTCTTTAATTCTTGAATTAAATAATGGTATTGCCCACCTCCACTTTGTGTTTCCAAGTGTGTGGGCTTTTGGCTCCCTTGTTTTTTGTTTTGATTGGGGACTAATTAAAAATCTTTCTTCTTTAAGCCCGCTTCATAGGCGTCTTAAACAATTTACTAAGTAATGCACAGCTAACAGCAGCGTTTTAAGGAAATGTTCACCTGAAAGCACCAGGCTTGGTACCACAGGACATCCTGAGGTCCTAGAAGAAGATCTCACCTTCCCATCTGAACAGGCTCTGCTTGATGCCCAGCGGCTTGGCTAGAGTAAGAGTTTTCTGAAGTTGTTTCATGGACCAATGAATTGGACCAATAATTAAAATTTTCATGGAAAACTTCCATTTTTATCTTAGGTCAGACTACTAAAGATAAAACCAGGAACGTGTTCAGGTCCTATAGCAATGGGTGCAGTCCCTGCAACWTGCACCTTTCCCCACAAATCAGCGTTGTGGCCAAAAGGCTGCCTTTCCTTCTAGCGTGGCTTGTGACTAAGTTTCTCTCTCATCAACTCTGTCTGGAGACTATCCCATGTGTCAGGATCACTGCATCTAAGCAAAATAATTTCAGTATAAGATTCCTGGGCTGGCAAAGGAGTAAAGAATTAATTCAGTCCTGCAGCTGAGGACAACAGCAGGAGCAGCGCCACGGGCGCTTGCTAGACTGCTGATCCCTACAGCCTGGCTACAGTGAACGTTGYCTGCGGCTGGTTTTGCTTTTGCCTGGAGATGTCACAGTGCTCATGTTTTGCTTTCTAGGTTCTTTGGCCTGCTGAACAGGTAAACGAGAGAGGGAAGGACTGTATGTGAAAARCTAAGAGTATTTATGGTGTCCTATCTCTCAGCTATCCTATCCTCTAGATTGATTTTCAGCCTAGTSTGGAAATTAGAATAAAATAAAGTGRAAGTTGGATGGGGATATTTTTMTGCCTTTAAAATGATTGCATTAGAAAYATTCTTAGAGACGGTTTAAGGCAAAATGAGTTTTCTGTGATCATTCACATTGATTTGACATAAACTGTTTATCTGGTTACATGGAATTTTTTGGTTTTGTGCAGACTTTATATTTTATATATATATAATATATATTTAGTATAGCAGCCAAATACAGGGTTTTCTGGGTGAAAACATCCTGATTTATACTTCTGCTTGTTTCTCGCTTGGCCTTCATTTTAAATACCTGCAAGTTGTGGTGTCTTTTTCTGGGAGCATCAGAATCTCCGATCTTGAACTCAGAGTCTTAGTTCTGCCTTTGGCAGTGATGGARCTGAAAAGAGGGAGCTGGTTAGAAAGTAGGAGCTTCTCTTCCTTGTTTGTAAGGTCAGGAGAGAGATGGAGAGYGTAATGGACCTGCACAGCAGTGCAAGGGACAGGACTCTAAATTGCCCAATATATTTTAAGTCCTGTCTCCCATCAATCCTGTCTTTATCTGTGCCTTTCATTAAGTAGTACAAAGCTGCATTTCTTTAATGAGGCTGGCATGAAGAAGATAAAGTGGCATTTTGTGGAAGGGGCAAGAAGCTGAGTTTCCTGCGAGCACAGGCCTGCAGAGAGGGTCGCTCCCCGTGAGAGCGCGGGGACTTGCTTGGCTCCCCGAGGAGCCCTGTGACACTTGTGGTCCTGCTGGCCTTCCTGGTCAGATGTGGTGCTCACACGGAGGGGTTCATGGTCCTGCACCCCACTGTGCTGAGCTGTTGCAGATTAGTAAATGGGAATGTTCTCTTTAGAAAACTGGATTTTAAGCCMGGCCATTCACGAGAGGAAGAGGCCATCCAGGACAAGCTTGGGAAGGGGGACGTGCTTGTTGGTGATGCTCAATGTCAGCAGCGGACACCAGGATCATCTGTTGTCTCTGAAGCCTGTCAAAGTTTGAGTAATGTGGGAGTCAGTGAATTGAATGTGAACTTATTCAGGGAAACAGAGGTCCTGTGTGAGATGCGTTTCCTTTCTGTATTGGTAGCCTACAGCCAACTGGGGATTGCCTTTAATCTGGTCTATACCAGTGTTTCTGGAGAGCATGTAAGGCTGCTGAAACCAAGTCCTGCTCTTCAAGCACTCCAGCCTGGACTCCTGTTGAGATAGTTGGTGCTTTCCACAGCCTTCCTTCTGTACTGTTTTGTGGGAGAYGTGTATGCATACCTACTTCCTTCCTTGGGAAAGATGGTGCTTTGGCATGACCACACCTGAAGAACACAAGTCCCACAAGGCAGAGCTCTTCTTCAGTGCTATTTAGAGTGGGTTGCACTGCTTTTAAGACCTTAGCAAAGTCTTATCTTTATCTGTACCCAGTCTGGAGACTGAGGTGCATGACGAGTCCCACACAGTCTTTGGAGCAYGGGGAACTCACAGTGCATGGGAGAACAGATGCCTGAATTCTCTTCTGAGTAGCCAGGTGGGGAAAACTGGAAGGTAACACATGGAAGCTGGAGGGGTATCAGATCATTTGTGGTGTAACCTTGGTTCTTGGGAGGCTCATTTGGGATTGGGGTTACCCCATGCCAGAATTTTGCCTGGTTTCTGGAGGAAGTGAAATGAGTCACAGTTGCCTCAGCCATGCAGAGTACTTGTCTRTGCTGGAACTGACACACTCCCATGTCTATTAAGGCTGAAGAAGAGTTAGTAAAGGCTCAGAAGGTGTTTGAAGAGATGAATGTTGATCTGCAGGAGGAGCTGCCTTCACTATGGAATAGGTAAGTGCTGGAGGGTTGCCAGTCGTGGTGTTCTGAATGAGGTGAAGACCTAAGTTCTACCATTGTACTGCTTTCCTYGGACTGGGTGCCAGCTTTTGTTTTCTGAATCATCCAGAGACCGTCCTAATGTCTCCCTGAGTCAGGTTGACCCTGAGCTTTCTGGTTTTGTAACTCACAGTTTTACTGCAAGCAGAAACTCTATTTCTGTGCTTGCTGTGATTACTTGCTTTGTACCCTGCTCTTTTCAGAAACTGCCAGCTCTGCTAGGCACTGGCCCAGCTCCTACTGCAGACAGCAGTTCAGGCAGCAGAGCTTGAAAGCCAAGTGCTGATTTCTGCCCTTGCTGCCTTTTTTTCTCCCAGCATGGGTTATGACTCTGCACACAGAGACCRGTGTGTGGGCCTGGCTGAGGATGCTGCTGCAGGAGCCGGGAGGGATGGGGTGCCTGGGTGGCTCCCTGGGCATGAGGGTGATGGCCTGGAGAGAGCCTCCCTCCTGCCCAGCTGCCCTGGCTGCGGACTGGGCTCTCCCTCCTGGCTGAGGGGCTGCAGGAGGGAGGCAGGCACGTGGCTGCCGGTGTTTTGGGGATGTTCCAGGTGGTTTGTTTTATTCTCTGTCGTCTGCCCTGGAAGCATGGTTCACACCTGTGTGCTTTCCCTGGTGCTGAGAAGTGAATTCATTCCAGCYGTTCTGCCCTACCCTGTCACCTAGATTTCCATCCCATTCCTTTCCGTTACTCCACCACTGTCTGTATCTTTTTTTCTGTTTCTTTTTCTTTGCACTTTGCTTTTSCCAGCAGAAATTTAGAGTCTATTACACCTGCCCTCACCTGGGAAATGTTTGCTGCATTGCCCCTCCACCTTGCCCTGCCATCTTCCATTGCACGTGCACRGACCTAACGGAGTTTAGTTCAAGTGGAAATGGTGGGTGGCAGGTAACAGAAGAGGCAGCACTGAAAGCTCTTGGGAGAGCACTGTGTTCATTAAATCCTTTTTTTCTTGTTTTTCATTTGGCAGTCGTGTTGGTTTCTACGTCAACACATTCCAGAGTATAGCGGGCCTAGAAGAGAACTTCCATAAAGAAATGAGCAAGGTACTGTAACCACCCCTCCTGCTAGTGCTCCCCGCCAATGAAGACTGAGCACCAGACTAACCAATACACCTAGAGAAAACAGCATTTTCCTCACATCAGATCAAAGTTTTAACATTCATTCTTTCTGAACCATGTGGGAGCAGAGTTGTCCGAGAGGGTAGTCAAAGGAATGGAGCACAGGAGTAGACTGGAGGGTCAGGCTGCAGTGGGGAGTTTGTGTTACCTGGCAGGGCTCATCTAGATACATGGCTTCAGATCCATAGTGGGAAAAGTCAGTTCAGGCTGTCGTGGTGCCTGACATCTGTTTGTTGGCTCTGCCTGTCAGAAGGCTGCTAAGAGCCCTTTTCTAGCTCTGGGGGACAAAACCRGCAGGCGATAAGTATGCCAGTGTATAGCTCATTGAGATGGGCCTTGCTTTGCTCTTGCCAGTAATAACTTGCTGCGTTGACTTTTTTCCTACCTTGTGACCCAAAAGAAAATTTTGTGCGTTTAATGTGGCCTATACATGGGCTACTAGTTGGCCATGGATTGGGAATCACAGCAGTAGGCAGTGTTTTAATCTGGTGGCAGCGTACATTCTGGTGCTGAATGTCGGCACCCAACAGGGATCTCAGTGCTTGTGTATGGGAAAACTTCCCATTATAACTTCAGCTTTCAAGTGTGTTCGTAGTGTCATTTTGCTTAGAAGTCAGAGTCCCTTGGGTCTGTACACTGCTCCTAATAATTAAACTCCCTCTGATTATGGTGCTRTAATGTTGATGGGCAACTGGGAACCAAGCTGGAAGACTCCTGCCTTTCATTCCCCTTGCCCCTCCTCACAACAAGGCAACTGCTAAGCAATGAGCAGCATTATAGTCATTTAATTTTTTAAGTTAGGAGCCTCCTGCCTTGGCATAATGCCTGAATTTTGAGCCTTACTAACATTTCCCGAGCACCTTTCCAATTAATAGCCAGGTCTTCTCCGCTGAAGGACAAACTGATTGTTAAGGGCAGAGGATTCATTTTATTGCTGTTAGCTTTACCAAAAAATAAGAAAGATGTCTGTGCTTGTRTGCCTTAGATTTTTATTTCTCTAGGGTTTATGTGTTAGAGCAGAGCTTYTGCTTTGCTCCATAAGAACTATCTGTTTCTTATTACTGCTGCAGCATCCAGTTAACTGCTGGTGTTGCTGCCAGGAGGCCTCTGACAGTGACTGCCTTGGATCCCTCCTCTTACCAATGATAAATCTGGCATCTCATCTTGTTGGTGACATGGCTGTTTCCAAATAGGAGTATCTGGAGTGAATGTTCCAACTTCTAGTGCCGGGGAAAGTTTAACTCTTAATCTTGCCTTTTTGCAAAGAGATCTATGTTCTGCAGATACCTAGCTAACCCAGGCAACCCCTGTCACCAAGGCTTGCTGAGACTGAAAGTGCATCTGACTTTAGTTACACGGTCCAAAAAGCCATGTCCCAGCTTCATGAGCAGGTCTGAGCAGGAGCTTTGGCTACAAACCCAGAGTTGAGCTTCAGTTCCAGCATGTAGACAACCCGCCTGSCCTGCATGGGTACCTGGCGGGGGGCAGGTCAGAGAGAATTAACGAGGATGTTTCATAAATGAGACAGAGCATTTCCAGAGGATGCCAGCAGCTCTTCAACTATTTGAGTGCAGCAGTATGGAATTTTTGATTGTTGCTGGTTTTATTTTCTATTTTTATTTTGGTTTTCCTCCCAAATAAAGAGTGGAGATGGATGAGGGCTGTCCCCTCTTGGGATAGCTCTGTGTGCACATGTTTAGGCACAAGCCTATGTTTTGCTGGTTTGTGCTGGCCAGCCTGGGCTCTTTTCTTGGCACTTGGAGCTCTTTTCTCAATCTTTCTCTCTTGTTTTTGTGTTTTGCAGTTGAACCAAAACCTCCATGATGTCCTGCTGGGTCTAGACAAGCAGTACTCGGGCAACGCCTTCCCCATTAAAGCACAGCCCAGGTCAGTAACTGTGGGAGCAGTATCTTTCCTTGGCACGGGAGGAGGGGCACATTGAAGCTGTGGTACAGGAATGTCTCTTCTAGGTGCATTGGATGTACTATGTTGTCATTTGAGAAGCAGTTCAATTGATGTATCACAGTCRGCCATTGCTTTTCTGGGACTCCCTCAGGCTTGTTGCAAGGTTGGATCTGGGACTGACAGATAGTATAAGACAACTTCCTTTTCTGTAATAGCAGCTGGAGGCCTAAACTTTCCCCACATACCAATATTTAGCCGACTAGCTCCTGCCCAGCTGTTTATAAAGTTGTAAATCCATGCACTAGCATTATAATACTGAGCTGCTCTTCTTGGTCCAGTTGCCCTGCACTCACCCCACTCTTGACTCTAAAGCTTCTCCCACATACCTGCAACTTGCAGTCTCTAAAGAGTCAAGATCCTCTTTGTTTCTCCAGCCTCCTTTTTGACCCTGTAAACTTGGAGCCTCCTCCTGGCCAAAGTCTTATGCCCTGCTGTGTATTGAAATGGGTTGCGTTGCCTCCCTGTGTGTTGYGTGGCCTCATTAATAGGAGGCCTTCTCATCTCAGAACGCCTTCAGCCTGCCTGTGGGCAAGGAACGAGTGTCTTCCAGGCCTTCAGCTCTCTTTCCATGGTTAGGTCCCCTCCTTTTTGCTTAACTGCAAATCTGCACATTCCCCCGTGCTGAGGGGAGGGAGAGGCCTGTCTGGCACCCGGCCAGGTGCGTGAGTGATGAAACAGCGCAGGGCTCCGGCCTCCAGCTGCCTCTAATCCCGGAGCCGGGAGAGCAGGAGYGCAGCCCGGGCCCCTGTGCTGCCCCCGCGGGGGAGGAGGTGAAGTCAGCGTGAAGTAAGGGCGAGCTGCAGCCTCAGCACATGGGTTTGGAGGGACTAGATCAGCTGCTGAGACCTCTGCACTCCCTTGTCTCACCTCCCTGTTTAACCCCCTGTTGCAGTCGTGCCTAGATGACTTGCACGTCTTGTTCCAGCCTTGGTGCTGGCTATCTTCGAGGGGATGCTCAAGTGAAATTTGGCCCCTGAATTTTGCATTGCTAGCATCGGATTTCCAAGATGCTTCTTGTGAACATAATAGCCTCTTCTAAAATTAGCACAAAGTGCTTGCTAGTCATCGCAGCCAAAAGACCCGCGAGGGGGCCATGGTGTCCAGCCTTTTCCTGCTGAGTGCCTTGTTTCTGATAGCAGCATCCACCAGAAAAGGATGAGGTAGTTGGCAGGGTGAAGGTTGTAGCCATTGCTTTGTCCAGCTGCTTCCTTCTCCTTCCTTCCTCACGGAAGTGATTGCAGGCTGTAGCAACAGCTTGGCCAAGACATGTTTGTTATTGTTATGGCATGAAATTCCTGGCCTGAAAGACTTTCCAAGAAAATAAATTACCTGCTGTCATGGTTCTTGCTCACATAAACTGCTAACTTCACCTGGGGATATAATGGTGTCTTATCTACAGCTCTGCTCTATTTGGCTGCCTGGGAGGCTACATGCTCTTAAAAACGAGCACAGGGCGGGGGCCTGTGCAGGCAGCAGTTCAGCTGCTGCTTCATTCCCTGCTCAGCTCTCAGCTGAGGTGCCAGGCTTGGCCTAAATCACCTCTGTTCCTCTGAGCACGGTGGAGCAGAGGATTGGAGGAGGATGTATCAAACGTTTGCTAGGACAGTAAGTGTTTTAGACTGCCGAGGAAATGTAGTGAGGCCCTTCTGTCATGCACCTCTGGCCCCCTTTGTGGTGATGTTTTAAGGCTGTTTGTAGGGCTGTAGCAGTGCCATGCAGGAGGAAATACCCATGGCTGTTCCGACAGCCATTGTGGCTTGCATTAAGAGCAGATGCTTCCCTAACCCTTCCCTACTGGGAAGGGGATTGGGGTGGATACAATAACAGGAAATGAATTGGGAGGTGTGAGAAGAGAGGCCTTTACCCTTTTACATGAGCACAGCGTCCTTGTGAGCACCTACTGAAGCCTTACTGTGGCTGTCAAAATCTGCCTTGGCTACACAGCACAGTAGCACAAACTAGAGAACATATTTCTAGGGATATTGAACATATATGAAAGAAGTTTTTGAAAGTCTTTGAACATTTAGGACACAAGTGCAGTGGGCTTGTTCCTTATATACCAGTTATATATAAGGAGAGTGGGGAATTGGTTCTCTGAAAAAGGACATGTGCAGTTCCCTGCTGATCTGCACAGCTACCTTTCTCTGCTTGCCCATGTGTATCCCCATCCTGGCTCTATGCTCCAAAGAGCAGGGAAAACTTTGTAATTTGCTCATATATATATATGTAAATCTTTGACAGGCACAAAGAACATTTTCCCACCCTCTCCAAACCAGGACAGAAGTGCCTGTGAACTGCAAGGAAGTGTGTGTGTGTGTGTGTATGTATGTATATGTATGTAGGTGTATGTGAGAGAGGAGAGTCCATCATCTCGATAATGGGGAGTTTTGTTGCACCAAGTGAATGGGTGCTTGGGAGCYTAACTTTTCCTCCCTGGTTTGACTGTGCCATCCTGTAACGGAAATGATTTGCGTGCCATCTTCAACAGAAAGAAAACTAAACTGTTCGCCAGGCTGAGGAAAAAGATGAGCAGGTACCGGTACGGAGAGCAGCATTTCGATACATGTTTTATTTGGTTTCTGGAAGTGGAGGGGCTGTTGCTGGATTCTAACAGCCTGGCACGTGTTAACTCTGTGACGGGAGAGGGGTCTGTTGCATGATACAGTGTGTTCATGGCCTGCCGGGTCCTGCTGAGATCTCTCTGTWTCTGGATAATCCCATTAACTGCTTGTGTGCTTGGTTGAAATCCTCGCTCCCTTTCCCCTCTGAGAAAGCAGTCTGAAAGCACGAGCACTGTGTCTGTTCAGCTGTTCCTGGGTGGCTGAAAGCGTGGTAGTGTTTTTTCAATGGGAATTAGAGGCCGCTTTGGTTATTAATGAGATCTTGTTTTACCTTGTGGGGCCAGCCCGTTTGAAAGAGCCTGAAATGCTGCGTTCTTGGTCCTGCCTGGCCAGGAAGGCCCAGCGGCAGGTCCTGCTTATTGCCAAGGYCCTCTCCTAGCTCCTGAAGGTTTATAAGAATGACACTTGCAGCAGCTTGTCTTTCAAGACAGTGAGGGCACTGAATTTCTGGATAGCTCCAATACCTGGAGTTCCTATAGTCAAGGCCAAGGACTCTGACAAGTACATGCTCCAGAGCAAAGTGAAAACTGCTGCACAATGGCATAGAAAATCCCCTAATTTTCTTTGTCTTGATGGTGATGTTCTTTCCATGCACAGGAATAAAAAAAATCATTATAATTCTGCAGGTGATTTCCTGCTTAGCAATGAAACTAAGTGCTGCTGAATTGGATTCCTTGCTTTCTTGTCCCAGTTTTCCACTGATTGGTGCAAGCCACACAACCCTTCCTTTTGTCTTTGCTTTGCCCTCTTTGTTAAATGCAGGGAGGGAGGAGATTGATAATTTTACAGGAAAGCTAGTAGGCCAAACTTAGTTATATCTTAAAATAGGAAACCACCTCTACTGAAGTTTCTGTTTTTTTTTCTGCTATAGGAAAATGGGTATTCACACAAATGCCTCTCTGCATGTCTGTGTCTCGATTTGTGCAGACCAGACTGCRCACAGAACTGCAGCATTTCCAGTCAGGGTTGCCACCCCGGCTGCAGCAGAAGGAGAGCCAGTAAATCCCACCTGGAAGAGCTCTAATCACAGTTGCCTCTCGCTTTGCACGGAGGAAGCCCCGCAGTTGGGGTGTCCGGCCTGGGCACTGCTGGGATCTCTGCTGCTGGGTGGCAGGGAAATGTGCAGCTCCTGGCACTGGGAAGAAAGGTGCTCTGGGACTTGGTCACTGTGTGGTCTGCAGCACAAGTGTACATTGCCGCTGTACATCAGGTCTGTAGGTGCTATTTTACTATTTTAGTATAACTTATTCAGTGCTCAGTCCACTTGGATGCTGAAAATAAACTTATCGTCTAAAAGGCCTCTACCTAAGATGCTAACTTTTTTTCCCCCTTCTCATTTTTAACTTGGCAGGCGGTGCTAGGTTACCATGTTGGGTAAACATAGTAAACAACCTCTAAACTGCATTGCTACAAGCACCTGGGAAGCCCTTTTGCAGATGTTAGTATGATCTTCCAGAGGGGGTCTGGAAATTCAGCACTAAGAGACTGTGGGATCTTGTTTTTCCTTCCAGCTGTAGTAACTGACTGCATTAGACCCTGTTCCTAGCTCTTGAGTTGCAGAAGAAAGGTAACACCTGTTTCTCTTCCCTGCCTGATATTCCTGGATTTGGCAGTGCTTGCCAGTCACTCCTGGGAGGGGGAGAAAAGAGCAATCATTTTCTTTTGGCTTTTCTCCTGAACTCATGTTCATTCTGTGAGGCGGCAGTCCCACATTCCTGCTTTCCCCGTGCTTCTGGAGGAGGCCCTCAGTTTGGAGCCCAAGTTTCACACTGCGTGGGGCAGCGTGTGCTCCCCCAGGAACCGTGAAGCCCACAGGATCCTGGCGTGCTGCTCTGACCAGCTAAATGTGTCCAAAGCAACAAGTGCAGGAGTGAAGGTGCCACTCTGGGGGCTGCGAGAGGCCCAGACAAAATTAGCACTGGCATTTTCCTAGGGGGATCAGCCAACACATCAAACAAGCTGTAAATAGCAGTGACTTGGTGAGGATTTTAGTGTGGGGCCCTCTCAGCCCTTGTAGGATGACTGAAAGAAACGGGGCTGCTCCTCATGTGGGACCTTTCACTGTTACACCCCCATGTAAGGTCACTGCCAAGCACCAGAAATGAGTCACCTGAAGCTGTTTTTGTGGAAAGGAGCATGACCTCCTCTCTCACCTGGAGAAATGGTAGGTGGAGAAGTCTGCCTTTGTGTTGGTCGGCCAGCCTGACCAGCTGATAGCTAATCCTCCCAGGCTGGTTTGGGCATTTGAGAAGACCTGGGAGACCAACTGTAGGTCACTGTGTTCTCCATCTCCCCCAGAGCACTTTCTATTCTGGGGAGAGTGGCATGGGTTTTTTTTTTTTTGTTTTTTTTCCCCTTGGTCCAGCACCAAGGGACATTTTTTCACATCTTTTCACACAGAATAGATTGAACATCATCTTTATCCTGGTCTGTGTTTTCCCTAGGTTAATATTGTGGCTTTTCCCCACATTTGAATCCTTGCATATGTGCTTACCCCTGTCTTGAGCAGTCGTCCCTCTCTAATCTTTTTTTTGTCATTGATAGTCCCAGATGTCCCATCTCCATCGTTTGGATCCTTCCTGCAGCAGTCCTCAGCAGGGCAGAGTTCTGCTGTGGGGTCCACTCAGGGAATCCCAAAGGTGGGAGATTGAGGCCTGTGGCTTCTGCAAGCCAGGGCTCGGCAAGTTCCTTACATTGGCCTCAGACTGTGCTGAGGTGACATTGCTATGGGAATAGCAGCAGGACAGGCTTCTGAAACCATTCTGGGCTTGTGCCCTGCAATTGTATTGAATGGAGCCTGCTGTTTCGTGATGACTCTCATTTAGAGCAAAATTTCCTTACCTCTACTCTCTGATCATTGCTGTTTTTCATCTGTAGCACAATCCTGGCATTATCCCAGAACCCTTCATGTAACATGCTGTGTTGATGTGATTTCTGGGATCCCTGAGGGAAGACACGACAGGCATTATCCCATTATAGTGTCAGCTATGGCAGGGTGGAATCCAAGTTTGTTGCTCCTCTTTCCTTCTCTCCCTTCAATGTCCCTTCTCTCCTTGGCCCGTGTCCCTTGTGTGAGAGCTGCTGGTGTATAATGTCCTCGGGTTTGCTGCATTGTGTTGGTGTGCTGCTGGCATCGGCATCATCAGAAACACGTGGCCTGCATGTGGACCTGAGAGCAAGTGCTTTGTGGGGAATGTGTGTGGTGTGTGGATATGGGGGGAATGGGTAAGGAAGAAGTGAATGGAGAGGGCACGGGGGAGCTTGAAGCCTGCAGCCAAGCAGGGGAAGATGCTTGCTTGGAAAGGGAGGTTGGTTGAATTGCCTTGCTGTCCCTTTCACCTGTTGTCCCCTAGGGGCTGGGGCCTTCATGCATGTTAGCCAATGACTGCCAGACCTTGGCCATCCTGGTGGGACATCTTGGGACCTTGGAGCTCTCTTGGGACAGGGTGAAGAGGGGGTCCCTGTGGTGTCTCCTCCCAGTCTGGGCTACGCTGCTCCAAACTGGTTCCGTAACAAAACTTATCTCGAGTTGTAGAAATGTTCTCTTTCTTTCAGCTTTATCTCAAGGCCTTTAGCCCTGCAAGAGCTGCCTTTATCTCTGAGTGGAGGCAAACACCATTCCTGATAGCTGAAGTTGCCCAGCCCATTTGCAGTATTCTGTAGTATGCATTTTTAGGATGTGTGTAGTGTTGCGAAATTATAACCCTGTACTAAAGTATCCCTTGCCTGTGTGTGACCCTGCCCTGCATGACTTGATATATGTTCATTTAGTTAATTTGGGCAGAGCTGAATTTCATCCAAAATGAATCAGTTATTTCTCAGAACAAGGCCAGAAAATGGCTTTGCTTTTATCCCTTTTGAAATTCTCTGGTAACCATTTTTTATTGTTCCTGATGTTGCCGCACTTCAAAACACAAGCGTGACATTTGGCTGGGGCTTGCCCTTAGGGTGAAGTTTGTCCCTCTTGCCATTCCTGTGCAAAATCTGTCCAAATCTGGCCAAGTCATGAACCAATAAATGCTTTTGGCATGTGCTCCTTACATCTTAATTACCTGAAAAATCCTTCCTAACTATGTGTCAGGAACTTTCTGTGCTAGAGAACTGCCTATTTTTTTCTACCTCCTATATGGAGTTATCTGTGAAACTTCTGGTTACCTAGTCCCCCTTCCAGCTTTGCCAGTTTCTACCATCTGGAGGAATATGTGGTTCTAGTGCCTTAGTTCTGCCTGGTGGATCTATTGATCATGACCCATGTGGGTGGCAGTGCAAGACCTCACAAAGACATCTTTGCCTGTACATTCCTGTAGAAATAAATGAGCAGTGAAAGAATCATTTTCCCCTCAGCTCTCCTAACATTAAGTGTCTGTCGTGTGACATCAGGTACAGCTAAGTTTGGATCTAACAGAATTAAGAACAGCCTGCATTGTTTTTTGCATTTGAGGCAAGATGTATCCATGCAGTGGGAATTCAGTGGCTTATCCTAGTGCACAGTGATCCTGCTGCTGAGTTTTGGGCCACATGACTCAGCAAAGATGCTGCTCAGAAGCTTATAGGGGCTTCAGATAACTTGATCATACATCTGGGCAGCAAAACAAAGAAATAAGAGGCTACTGCTCTGTGCTAGTTAGCACAGTTCCTCAGTTGAGGTCTGTCTCAAACTGTTTTTCCTCTCTCTTCCCTTCAGTGATAGCACCCCAGGGAAAGCAAATAAAAGCCCCTCGCCTCCACCAGATGGATCCCCCATCACCAGCCCTGAGAACAAGACTGTCAACCATGAGCTGGAGTCGTCCTCTTTGGAAGCACCTGGGGCCAGCATCCCAAAGTCACCATCTCAGGTAGTGTCCCCTTGACACTGACCAGCACTCTGCAGTGTGACCACTGATGGCCCAGGCTACATGAGTCAAACACGTCCATCTTTTGCTTGTTTTGACGTGCTGAGCACAGAGAATATGAGCTGACAGTTGTTCCCCATCAGTAGGGGCAAGCATGATGTTACTGAGAATGCAAGTTGTTCCTTGGTCTTTTCTATATCATACAGGAAGAGCTAAGCTGTCTCAGAATTCCTCTGAAGAGACCGGAATATGACATGGAAGATCCAGTAATAGTATATTGCACCATCTAGCAAAGCAGCTAAGAGGAGTTAGGGAGTCTACTAGGGTAGGAAATTAGTTCTTTTTATTTGAATTAACTTGTGCATTTCAGTAGTCCATATTCTTCATGAGAACTTCCCTGATTCAGAGGCTGTGAGGTAAAAAGTTTAAAATTGATACGGGTAAGGATAACAACTGTATTTTATGTGGTATTGTATTTTAATCTCAATATAAAATACCATGTAAAAGATCAGGTCATTCAATTCTTATGCTGTGAAGAAATTTAAATATATGGAAACAAATTGTCCATTACTGATTTCTGATATCTTCTGTGTGACCTTTGTTAGTACTTTCCTAACACTGGAGACAGTAAGCATTCCCAGCACTGGAGAGCAGCATATTTAATGTGGAAAATGTAGCTGTCGCTTTTAAGCACATCACATCATATGTTTTGCTTTGAAGTTTAAGAAAAATAAAGCATTTGTTTCTTTTTCCCATCTTCTTGTTTCCCCAAGTAGGGGAGAACACAAGAAGGGACAAATAGTAACTAGACCAGATTCACATCTGGTGCCAATCCTTGCATTTCAGTAAGTGGGATGCCAGGGAGGGAGTCTCCAGAAAGAATTAAAACCTGTAAGGGATTCTGTCCCAACTGGTAAGAAAACACCTAGCACTTCCAAAAAGTCATCAGAGCAACCCAGAACTTCCTTGTTGTCATCACAGGTAGCAGTACAACACAAATCCAGACCTGTGGTGTTGGCACTTTCTTTTTTCTGGTTACTCTCCCATAATACTTTGTCTCAGATGTACTTTTATTTTATTTATTTTTTAAGCAGAATCTGGGGACAAAAGGGATGATAATACATTGACAAAAGCATCTTTCACAGCCTTGTGAGATGTRTGGATGTCTGTCAGTGTTTTCCTGGGACTTCTTTAGGATCTCTGCATTGCCCAGCTCCTGCCCAGCCCTGGTTAGGACCTTTGGAATGGGATATGGGAGAGGATGGTGTGCACGCTCGTTATCTTTGCAGGACTGCCTTTGTATTTTTTCAGACATCTGCACATTTCAAAAATTTGGAAAATGAAAATTTGGAGCAAGAAGTTGTACAGATTTTTTGAGCCATGCACTAAAGATTTCACTTACGCTGTCTGTGGAATTCTCTTGCTGAATTTGGCTTCTTCTCTTTCCTTTAAATAGCACACGTTAGCCTGCTTTTTTTTTTTATTGTTTTTTCTTTTTGCCAGGCTGCAAGCTCTTGCTTTTTGACTTGCTGCCTTGCTGGCCACGGGAGTGGGGGCTGGAGTCTCCCCGTTTTTAAGCAGGCAGAATATTCTAGCAAAGTGCTATCTGTAACATTAGATGGGCCAAAGGTAAGACCTAAACGGTATTTGCAGCTAATGCTGCCACCATCTGGCAACTCTTTCCTGGTCTGTATTAACTGACTTTCCTCAACCTTGCTATGGCGAAGAACAAGAGATCCACCCTGTTTCTTACTAGGTGCTGAGAGATGGAGCTGGCTGCAGAGGGAGGGTTAGTTAGAGGAGGGTTTTGTACTCAAAGCTCTCATGCTTGTGTGGACCAAGTCTTGAAGCTCAGCGCGTGTCAGCTTGCCAGCCACCTGGAAAGCCCAAGGGCCTCCTCGTCAACAGGGCCCAACTTGAACGGAAAGCTTTATGGATAGCATTACTGTTGGAACTGAGAGTGACTGCCTCTAGGATGGTGAGGATGGAGCAAAAAGCAACGAGCAAGTGCAGCTCTCTGGCTCTTTCCTTCCTGGCTCGAGCACCAATGCAAACGCTAAGCAGACGCTGTGGAGAAAAAGGCAGCAAAACAAGAGAGACCAAAAACGTGTTATCTACCTATTTCTAACTGTTCCCTGTGTCAACTATATCTCTTATTTTCCCGGTGCATTCCTTTAATTCTCAAAAATAGTATATTTCTGTCTTCTGGAAGAAGCAACTGCTCACAGCTATTTGCACTGAGTAATCTGATGATGGCACAGGACTTCATCGGTCTATGAAATTTCAAAGGTCAAACTTTTGCTCTCAGTTACACCACGGAAACACTGTGATGACACTTCTGAAATCAGTTTAACTGTGTTGAATTGATCTGATAAAGCTCTGTAGGATCCAAGAACGGCAGACGGAATTTAATGGATTCATTTTATTTGAGGCAGTGAAATTGTTCTTCATGCTTGGTTTGTTTCTGGATGTCACTGCTGTTGGAGATGTGCTGGACACTATGAAGTGGTAGCCTCCAAGACACTAATGCATAGGAGAGCACAGAGAACTGAGAATTTTAGAGAAGCGAATAACAGAAGAGTGAGGATTTTTTTGGCTTAGAGTTTGTAACTGGAGCCTCCAATTCCTGCAGATGCTGCCTGTGTTCTGGGAACAGCTTTTCCCTGAAATTTCTGGTCCCTCCTGCAACCGACAGGCAGAGSATATTTTAGGAAGGGATTATTCCTGGGGAATATGGACACACTACTCTCCGGAAACAATAAAAAGCCAGAAGTGGAAACGCTACTGTCATTACTTCTCCTATCCACCTATTTACCATAAACACAATAGAAGCTGTTTGCATTCTCACTGACACTTTCTGAAGTAAGTTAATCCTTTAGAAAACTGGATATATTTGCCACAATCTGAAATAGATGCCTTGTAAAGTTGCATCCTGGAGGATATAAACACAGGCCTAAGAGTCAGGGTTTGCCATGCTGGAATGTGGCCTGTTGCTGACTGGCCATCCACTGTGAAGTCACTGAGTTGTGGTCTTTGTTACAATGGGAAGCTCAGTAATTGCAAAAATAAACAACA